AAATAAACAAAAACCCATTTTATGTACTGTAACTGTTGCCATGTTATATGCACAGGGTATGTTTTAAACTTTTGTTCTTTTGGCAGATGACCCACCTGGAGATTTCACCATTCTTTCAACCCACCAGCAGGCATCAACTCAGCCCAGGACGGTCTGTGATCTGGATAAGTTGAACCAAGACATGGCCCTCAGCTCTCCAGGAAAGGAGGGGCTGGTTAATGCAGTAGATGACTGTATTCAACATCTGTCTGACTTGCAGCTCCACAAGGTTCAGCCTTTTATTTCAGACGACTCTTATTAGTTTGATGCTGACCGAGTGACTGAATCAGTATCGTAATGCTTTCTCTGTGTAATGTATTGTTTACCCTCTCAAATACAGTCAAATGATCAACTTGAACAAGACACATTGAGTTTTGACAGAGCCATCATGAACCTGCAGACTAAGCTGCAAAGAGTTCAGATGGAGAAGGATGTTCTGTCTGACCTCAGGTGAACACACTGATAAAATTGTAATTCTGTAAAGAAACAGTTATAAATCACTGTGACCCACAGATCTTTTTATTTGTAGATTGAAGGATTCAAGGAAACATGCTGATCAGATGGAAAAGATGCTGTGCATGTTGGAAGAGCTCCAAAACATCAAAAGGGTCGCGGACCAGAAGCTGCAGGACACAGAGGCTGAGACTTTGGCACTTAACAGGAAAGTAGAGACACTGGAACATATTATAAAGGAAACATACTCTTCACTGTTATCTCATGAAACACCGTGTGGAAACCACACTGTCACTAGTCAGAACTTCACCACAGGTTCGGTACAGCTATTTCCGACTGCTGAGTTAACTGAGGAATTTAATGATAGGACAGACAAGATGGACAGGAGACATTGTTTGGTAAGTACTAGAAGCCAGTTACCTAGTGTTATGATGTTTAGAGTACTTCAGACTTAGACCTATACTCCTGCTATGTCTGATTTTTTTCATCTGTTTTGAATCTGGCAGCCAGTAGAACATCTGGGGAGTGAACAGTGCAGTGGAACAGATGAGCAAAAGGAAAGGTAATGTAGAGCTGCAGTGATTCATCTGTCAATCATTTAGTCAATTGGCAGAAAATGTAAAAAAAAAAAAGCCAAATATTCATTGGTTTCACTTCCTAAATGTGAGAATTTACTGCTTTCTTTTTCTTATATGATAGCAATACAAATACAGCTGATTGGAGCATTTGATTAAGTCAGTTGACAGAAAAATAATTAGCTAACTATTTCAGTAATCGATTAATTGTCTTCAAGCAAAAATCCCCCAGTTTCAGCTTCTCAGTTGTCATAATTTATTGATTTTCTGTCTTTTGTGATAGAAAAGTGAATATCTTTGTATTTTTGATTGCTGATCAGACAAAACAAGACAGATGACAAGATGACTTGCAGAAACTAGTATGGACATTTTCCCTGTTTTCTGACACTCTATAGACAATGCAAATAATGAATTAATCGAGACAAGATGAGCAGAAGACTGTCATTGAGCCTAGTGTAGGCTGGCTGTCTGTCAGATTGGCCACTAGAGTTGATGTCCTTGCCAGGCGCAGCTGCTTGTCTGCTCTATAGCAAAAATTATTTTACCCTTTCCAACTCTTGTATGCTGTCTGCCATGCTCTATTATATTTAAAAAGTATAGTATATGTATTTACCAGCATTGTCATCACACTCTCTTCCCATTGCTCTCTCCTAGAATGGAAGACCTAATTGCACATCTTGGCCAGGAGATGGCACTGTTAACTGACAAACTGAGCTCATCCAAAAACAGCAGTATTAGTTTAAGCGTCAAGTTGGAGCAGCTAAAGTAAGTGATGTTCCCAAATAATTTAGTACTTGTTTTTTCAGCTTGTCACTTACTTGAAAGAGCAAACAATGCTGACTTTCTGAATTATTGAATGCATGTGAATGTGTGTCAAAAGTATGTAATTTCTTTGTCCAGGAAATTTGGAGAGAGACAGACTTCACTGCACCAGTACCAGGTCAGTGAACTTGAATCAGCCTTCTCCAGCCATACAGAAAAGGTCAGGCAGATTTAAGTTAATACTATAAGCAACAATGTAAGCAGTGAGTCGCTGAAGCTGCTAAACATCAATGTTAACCAGCCATACTTATCAACTTCACTAGATGTGTAGATCAGAGAGACCAGAGTGGCCTAAACATGAGGCAAATATAACAACTACCATGTGAACCTGGTGTTAAAGAGGTTAGAAATAGTTTTTATATGTTTGTGATCGTGATTTGTTATCAATTTGTTTTCTTGAGCAACAGCTCATTCAGGCTCAGTCTCAGCTGATGGATGCCCAGAATGAGAGAGAGCAAGCTTTACAGCAGGCAGAGGAGCTACAGTCACGGCTCGACCAACTTAAGGTGCTGTGACAAATGATGAATGTGAAACCAGCATTTTGTCTCACTTCGTTGTTATCACAGCCAAGTGTTTATAAAGATGCGTGTTTACATAAGAGAATGGTGTTTAAAGGGGAAGCTGAAGTGTCAGGTTGACTTTACATGATGTAATTCAAATGTTGCTTAAGTTTTGTGAAGCCTAATTATGATGGAGCAATATAAAAATCTGGTTGTGTTTAGTCTGCTGATAAAACAGCTTCAGATGCTGATGGATAGAGTTAAACAGGACTACCAGGCTCAGATGGAGGCTCTGCTTAGGACGAGGGCTTTTCTGGCAGAGGTTTACTGACTGAGATTATACTGCTTGTCTTAATAATATCCACTACATGTTTATTCTCACCAGTGATGTCAGTGTCATGGGGGAACAATTTTGTGACTTACTGTGGCTGAGAATATTTAGGCAGGAAATGTAAATGTCAGATGCAGTGTCTCTTTTTTCAAAGCATTAGATATTCATTACTGTAGTTACTAGTGGCAGTATTTTTTTAAAGTCTGTATGTTGGTTTTTGAACATACCGATAGCTAAAAGCAACATAATACATACACAGGGACAAATGCATTCATTGAGATCACATATCTTCACACTGCCAACAAATTAATTTGTGCTCATTTAAATACAGTCATCCCACTGTGCCTCCTGCTTTATCCTCCAGACATGTGGTGAGCAGCAGCACTGTGAGCTCCAGGGGCAGGTGAAGGCCCTAAGAGGACAGCTGGAAGTGGCCTGGGAGCAGCTTCGCAGAGCTGGGGAGGAGAAAACCTGCCTCCAAACCCTGCTAGAGCAGAAGGTTCAGGAAGGGAGGAAATCCCAGGAACTCCTGTGGGAGAAAGACAGGGAACTCCAGCTCAGACAGCAAGAAGACCAACAGGTAATAAATCATGGAAAGTGTGTGGACACTCTTCCTGAAGAGAGGTTTTTGAAACATTTCATTTATGTTAAATACAAACCACTGCCCTTTTTTTGATGGCTAATTGAAATTAAGCTGAACTGATTTTTACAGCACCTTTCCAGTTTGGAAGAGGCTCAGAGCCGGTGCCAGATCCTGCATGCAAAAGGAGAAACACTGAGGCTGAAGCTGGAGGACAGCAAGAAGATGATAGATGTTCTAAGGTTGCAGATGGAGAGCAGCACCCAGATGGCGATGCAGCACAGCCGCACCATTGACAACCTTCACCAAGAGAACAGCCTTCTCAGCAACCAGCTAAACCAGCACAAGCTGGAGATCCAGCAGCTTAGGGTTGGTAGAAAACCTCAGTGAAATATGCTTACATCACAGAATTAAAACCTTTCTTTCTAAAGCCTTCAAGTTTGTTAATGTTTTTCTTCTTATTGATTTTTATCCTCAACCTTCAACATTACTAACGTCCCATTCTTCCTTCCTCTTATGTTTATGTACACTGATCAGACTGAGTTAGAGCGGCACAAATCAGACCAGTCTGCTGCTAAGCATGAGAGACAGCAGCTACAGGCCTCTGTGGCTGAGCAAAGGCAGCGTGTCCAGGAAAAGACTCTGGAGAACCAGCAGCTCACCAGCCAGCTGGAGCTCCAGGGCATGCAGTTACTCACCCTCACTAGTGAGTTCAAGTTAAGGCTCCAAACACAGTCTATGCAAGTATGCGAATGCATGTGACAACATGAGGCCCAACCAGTACAAAGAGGCAACTCCAGTTAAAACATGTTAATGTGTGCTCCAGGAGGTAATTTAGACCAATTAAAACTCAGTGTTTCCATGACCACAGACATGAAGTCAATGAAAGCATGTGTACTGCTCTGAAGACAGACAAAGACAGAACATAGAATATGTTTAATATACCAACAGTTTAATATAACAGTTTAATTCAGGCCTGTTGTGTAGTGTCAGGTCAGTGTTAGCTCAGAAACATGAATAGTGTCCCAGGAAAAACCATATACTAATATAACGAAACACAATCCAATGAAAACTGCAACAAAATCTATCTATCATTTATGCAACAGTTTACACTATCAACAAAGCCTTTTCATTATTGAGAGTGTTTGATATGTGTTAACTTCTTTATCTCTCTATAATACATGTTTGTCCGGGCATTATTTTAGAGGAGCACAAGGAGCTGCAACAGCTCCACAGCTGTAAGGACGAGGAGTGGGAGGGTATGGTGCTGAAGCTTCAGCATCAGCTAAGGATCACCCATGATGAGCTGGACCAGGTCAAGAGCACCGTGAGGACCTTGGAAGGAACTGATGGGCATGGTTAGAACCACCTCATTATTTAAACTGAGAGCTGATCAAAAGACCTTGTGTCCAAAGAAACGTCTGGGAAAATTCCTTTGGTTCAAATGCAGTCTGTGATCAAATGGACAGAATACAGTGACTTATTTTATTCATAATGTTCAATAACACTTAACTGAAATCTTTTAGAATATGAAGCTGTTATTTTTTTATCCTCCTCTGCTGCATTCCAGTTTGAGAGATATAACCTGGCACATGTAACTATTAACATTCACTATGTCCTTGATGTGTACAAAGCCTGCCCAGTATTAAAAGCTCTGTGATTTATGTTCTTGCTGTCTCACATGCACGATGTCCTTTGTCTCTGTGTTGCTTTGTCTCCACCTCAGGCCTCCAAGTAGCCATGAGCATGCAGAAGGAAATCACTGCCAGAAGAGAGCAGGTCGACTCTTTGCAGAGCAAAATCCACCGTCTTGAGGAGGCTATGGAAAAGCTGTATCAGGTGAAAAACTTAGCGGTGTCTGTGTAGGTCATTCATGGCTTCTCTCCAATCAAGTTTTTTCATCTCATATTTTTTCAGAGTTCCAAATTGTTCTACAAAGAATCTTTTCTCACTCCAACAAAATAATAAATCATAAATACATTTTTAACTTGAAACAGTACTTGCCTCGTTCTGTTGTTCTCACTACCCAGGAGAAGAGCTGCCAAATCCTGGAGAGCCAGCGTCAGCTCCAGGAGCTTACCTTTGTCAGGGAGGAGAAGAGACAACTCGCCAGTGAGCTAGAGGCCATTCGCTCCAAAGACCAACAGCTGAGAGAACGGATCAGCAAGTTGGAGGCAATCCTTCACAAGGTGATACTTATTTAAACAAATAAACATAAACAACGAATATACTGTAGTAAAATATATTCTGTTTTCAAAAGTATGTTACTGTGGAGCTATAGTGGCCTGGATATTGAAGTTGCAACCATTAACTGCACTATCTGTGTCTAGTGGGCAAGTTTAGTTGCATGTAATTCCCCATCTCTTTCCCCCATCATATACTGTATTCTCTTTACTGTCTGCGTTCTAATAAAAGCATAAAATGCTAAATATACAGTTAGGAAAGTGCTGATTATCTGCAATTGTCTTAAAGCAGAAATATTATCTGAAATTTGTTTTTTCCTTCTGAGAATTACTATTGTTTTACTTTATAAGAGTTGGCATCACTTTCCCTCAAACTGTTATTACTTGCCTCTGGAACATAACAAAAATGTGTTTACATATTCTGGTAAAAAAAAAAAAAAACCTAAGGTTGCCTCAACCTTATCAGTCTGTTCTGTCTCTGTTTGTCTTTGTCACCATGCTATTACGTCATACTGTGTGCTCTGCATGTTCCCAAAGATGTCAGAGAGCTTTGCCGACTGTCAAGATTTCATTCAGCTGCAGGAGCAGGAGTTTTTCCAGCTGAAACTCCAACATGCCCTGGACCTGAAGGTATATGGAGATTGTCTTTTTGTAAGAGAGAGTATTTACCCATATTATCTCTTTCTTGTGCATGTGGTGAGTCTTATGTTATGACTTTACTTTCACAAATCTTGAGGTACAGCCGATTTTATGTTCCTTTTTCAGGAGCTCGAAGGTCAGAATTTGCGCACAGCTCTGAATGTATCTCCACCTGTCCTGGACTCTTTTACCCCGTCTGCACTCACTGCTCCACCCTTTTCCCAGCATGCCTCTAACACTCAGATCAAGGTACTGTCAGAAACACCCTATAGCTCTCCTGTCTCCTGCGTGAATTGCTGTTTATTTAGTTGCATAGAGACAAGCTCAGCACATCTGCTCGGACTTTAAATTAAAAACACACACACTGCATTGCATTCT